GGCCTCTTAATCTGTGTGAATGATATCCGCAGAACTGGTGGGCAAAATATTCATTAGATGGTCATATGATCTGTTTCTTCATGGTGCTACCAACTCATTTGCTTCATATCTACTAGATAATAAAAACTTCTAGAGGTTCTGAGCCTATCTGAATGATAATCGTCAACAGCCAGAACAAGAGAGTCCATCATCTGGGTACTTCGCCTTCGTTGGAAATGAGAACTTCTTCGTACGTGAACTTACGTCTGGTATCCTCTGGCTACTGGGAATCTGTGGGAGATTTTATGCAATAGAATCGATAAGTACCCTCAATAGTGAATGACCTGCAGCTGGACAGTGGTTTAAACCAGACCCACCACATTTCTTCACAAGAATCGCCATCACTAAACCACCTCCCACTAGCCAAGTGGAAGACGCGTGCCAACCATGGCATAAAATGATTTCTACTTGTAGTTCTGTTTCCATAGNGTGGGAGATTTTATGCAATAGAATCGATAAGTACCCACAATAGTGAATGACCTGCAGCTGGACAGTGGTTTAAACCAGACCCACCACATTTCTTCACAAGAATCGCCATCAGTAAACCACCTCCCACTAGCCAAGTGGAAGACGCGTGCCAACCATGGCATAAAATGATTTCTACTTGTAGTTCTGTTTCCATAGAATGCATCTTTATTGGAAATCTTTCTAGAGTGAAGCATATCTTGTGCAACGAAAATTTTTTACCTCGTTAACTACAATTACCATCTCGGAAACAAGTTTAAACAATCCCTTCCATAACATAACCAATTACTCCACATGCAACTCGACGGCCGGAGTTGCCTGTTGAGAGACTCCCGGCGTCTCCGCCTCTCCCCAGATCGTCCCTTTGTTCATGGACCACGAAAGATCGTCCGACAATGCCGCGAGGTCCGGTGAAAGTAATGAGAAAATCTTGGATGACGAACGTTGTTGGACCTTTCCTCTTAAAAAAGTGTTTTGAAGAGAGTCAATGATTGTAAGAGAGATGTCTTAAAACTTTTTTCACTGTTTAGAAATGATCCTCAGAAAACAAAAAAGGACTGAAAGGCTAACAGGTGTTAGTATGTTTCCAAGATCGCCAACATGTCGCCTCAAAGGTGGGTCGTTTGGCCCACCATGTGGTGCTGCAAAGGGATTGTAATGTGCTCCAGCTGCTAGGCATCCATTACCGAGATCGCCAAACTCGTGAGCGTGAAAGCCGTGAAGACCTGGGGTTAGCCCAGTTAAATTACCGATGATCTAAATAATACGTTAAATTTCACTCGTTAATCGCTCTTTTAACATGTGAAAAGATCTAATGGCCTACCGTAACGGTTCCATTCTGTTCTGTCATGTCGATAACTCCAATTACCGATGTTGGGTGACCGCCAGGAATGGCTTTGAACATAATGGCACGAGCTTTTTGCGCTGCAAAAAATCAGGTAGCAGCGCTTTTCAGGTCGCGAAAACCCCGATTAGTGAGACTCCGACCTTTAATTATCAGGAAAGGGGTACACATTCATATTGGGGTAAATAGGTTGACGTTATGTTTCACCTTGAAAAGAGCAAGTTACCGTCGGTATTAAGGCCAGAGAGAGGATGAGCAGGAACTTCAATGCCATTATGACTGAAGACGAACAGTAGGACTTGCTGGAAATGAAGAAATTGACGCAGGTATCTTGTCCTGCAAGGGAAGCGCATACAATTGCAGCAGAAGCATACTCACAACGACCTTGGTACCCCAGAATCCGCTCGTGTAACCATTTGACTATCGATGAAAGTTGTTAGAGTTTCTAGTATGTTATGCAATCGCACCTGAATATCTCTCCTTTTCACTCGCTTCCACACATTTCCGATTCTAAGACGAGCTCTTTGTCGGAAATAATATAAATTGAACAAAAATTATAATTTCATAGCTAGTATGACGAAGTAAGGCGAAGCGAATCAACACAAGGAAACAAGGCGAAGCTTGTCAAAAGAGGAGTTCGCAATACCAAATGGATCGACCAAGCAGCACTGGTCCTTAACTAAATTAAGTTCGAAACTCCGATTCGTGAAAAATCGAAGTACTTCTTCAAGGAACTGTTTGATGAAACAGCCGTTTACTATCAATGAAGTAAAAGAATCACAACAATGAACATCGTTTCTCATAAGCCTCTTCAGTGCTTCAAACCTCATCTTGAAAGTTCTTTATACGAACAAAGACAAATTAAGATAGACAAAGTAAGTCGAAAGAGAGCGATGTGAGAAGCAGTAGGTGTTCCATGTCACATGGAGGTGAATTCAGCAGAGTTAAGCAACGCACGAATGAAGTATCCCAACGGAGCGAGCCCTTCCATGTAGTACTGTGGCCGATCTACGACCATTCAATATGATCTACTGATCTGTTGTGGCAGTACGTCCTGCAGAAGTCGGCGTTGTATATTGGTTGACACAGTACGTAATAATATTTAAAAAACCGAAGTCTATTTAACCTCTGCATGAGTAAACAGTATTTTCTTAAATCATCAAGCCAATAAGAGGTTGCTTGAAAAGTTTTAAACCAGTAACGTTTTGGCGCCTTCTCTTTCGTTAGAGCAGGACTGATTGGAAACGATAGTTCACATATTGATTCTTAATCTCGATTTTAAATAGATTGACTTTCCAACGTTGTCTTTTTGTATAAACCGCCTACATATAAAGACATAAAAATATAAAGGCTATAAAAGCTCTAAGGCTAAAGCTCGCGGTGTTGATCGATACCTTCGAGATGCGCCATGCCTCCGATTTCAATAAGCACCATTGCAGATGAATGAATGCATACCTGGGGTTTACAATGACTCGCGGTGGCCTACTGATGTATGGTAGCGATGCCGCTGTCCTCCCAGATAAGTCTGGTACCAATTTGCGAATTCGGAGAGGTGGAAGGCCTGGTGGACAATTGGCGCGCGGTTCGATCCCATGTGTATTGCAGGGCGCTTCCTACTATTGCGCTACACACGTCCGTTATAAAAATATACAAAAGGCAAAGTATGCGCACAAAAATATAGTTCATACGTGTTCTTAAACCCGCTACTAACAACTGACTGCAATCTGGTTGCATAGAAGACGAGTTTGCCTTTTTTCTGCGGCACACAGCGGTTGCTGACGTAATGCAAAAAACTTTAGAGGACTGAATGAAAGAAGGAACGAGATTACCAGAAAAATACGTAGAAGAGCCGAATTATTGAACTGATAGCACATAAAAGAATTTGAACGATAGGAAGATATAAAAAGAAACCCAGAAATCGCTCTGCAATCGTTTGTTGACAACGTTAAGAAAGGTCGTTACAAATCTTTACTGTTTACTGTTACTAATGCACCTGATTCATCGTCTTCAGATCTTCGAGATGGCTCGAGATGAGACGGGACGGTTAGTTCAAGTGTTTCTCAACTTGAGTCTTTGTAGTTTGACCGATCCGAAATTTCGGAGGCAGAACAGCACTCGAATGGAAGGATTTGGCCAGGCTTCTTTCACAGGAGGCTCTATTCAGTGGGAGGAAATGGAACAGAAGTGAAAATAGCAGAGAAATTGTGATAAATGGTGAGGACAAAGTTAGGAATAAGATAAACTAAAATTAAAATAGGAAAATGAAAGGTTTTGACATTTAATACGCAAACTACCGAGAACAGTTCAGTATGATGGGTGATTTCCAGGTGAGGTCACTTCATTCCGGCGAACTAACTAGTTGAGTCCACAGCTTAGGGAAAGCGCTGATAACATGCGCCGACGCTTCGCCAAGTACAAGATGCCGGCAGCTACAGCATTTTTATTTCGCTTAAAACACAGAAGAATGTTCGAAATGGTCACAATCTTACCCTTTTTTTAAATCGATAGAACTAGCTGAGAGACAGGCGAAACGAAGGACCCTGATGGTGTGGTGGTGAACGCGTTACTCCCCGGAAAGGACAATAGCGCGTTCGTTCCCTACCGCAGACATCTGCGGTCCAGAGTTTTGCAAATATCTCAGCATCGTTGATCTTATATTTCACAATGAATACTCTGCCGTTAAAAACGAGTAGGCAGTAAGTAATAAGTTGAAGCTGTAAGTTCTTTTTATCATGCAATTGAATTAAGTTCTTCATCTTCCAAGCCGCATCGACGGTGAAATGCAAGATCGTGGTCATTCGCGGCGAGGTGTTGAAATGCCCTATCAGCACATAAACGGTGGGTCATGAAGAAAACCGTATTATGACAGCTGAAGGTGAGTTGCTTCTATTAGATGTAAAGGAAGGCCCACACAAGACCGTTGACCCAATGCTCAGGCTTCGCCGTTGAGATCTCAGAAAAACGACGTGATGGTCTACATGTTCTTCCTGTCAAAATATGACGAAATGTGCTATCGACGGAGGATGTGATTTCACCTTATTTACAACGAATACCGGTTTTATCGTTCGTTGAGGAAGAACTTCTGCTTATTACTGGGTCTTTATCAGACGCTGTCGGAGCTTTTAGCTGAACTGGATTCCAAATCTGTCTGCTTGTTCAACTCATTACGGTGGTCTGACATTTGCTTCATACAGTCGTCACTATATGTTTACTCAGCTGAGATTGCTGTTTCAGTCCACTTTCGAGTTTATTGTATTTGACTGGTTAGTGCCTTACACGCCGCATCGACGAAAAAAAAGAACAAGTAATGGAGACATACTTTCAAATCTAATTCCGAAACTTACCATAAACATTGGCTGTTTTGAACCTGCTCCTTAGCAAATCATAAAGAATGCTTAAGTCGTCTTAGCGGTTTCTCTTTCAGATTCCACTGCCTGCTGTCTTAAGTCATTTTACTCCAACTGATTCTAGTAAGGCTGATGGAAGAGTGAAGGATTGCAGTGAGAGTAAGAATCGGAAAGAATTCGGTATGGTATATCTGCATGCTGCATCGCAAGAGTACCAGATGCTGGTTTGACTCAGTCTCATGGATATAAACAATAACGGCTTTCGAGCCAAATCGTTGATGATCAGTAACTTTCATGAGTTCTACAATAGCTCCACATTTTCAAAAACCTTAAATGACGTTGCCATGGATGTAAAAGGGGAGTTCGACGAGGCAATACTATCACGCTAATATTAATTGGGTAACCTCTTGAAAGCGTTATGCAACAGCAACAGTCGGAAGTCAATCGTATCAGTTTTGGTGAAGAAGTCACTTTCACAAGATCGAGAGAGCATTAGCCCATCAGAACGAGTGCTAATTGTTTTCGAAGCCAATTTTAGTCAAGAACCACTACTAAATGGCCGTTGCTTAAATCTCGAGTAAAGGATGTTGATGAGAGACAGATTTTCTTCTGATGACCCTCATACTCGCTGGAGGTCTACCAATGTTCCAGCTTTGTGTCTAGGTCAGCGAATGAAAATAACGAAGCATTTAGCTTCGAAGCTAAGTGAGAGAAAACTCAGCCCTAGAACGAATTCCAATGATATGTTAAGGTCGTTAAGATCGAAATGATGTCAAACAAGAGAAGAAATACAGCTCATTTAACGGTGTTTGTATGCTTATTTGCGAGTCATCACATTCACCTCTCAACGAGGAAAAGGTTCAGGCTAATATTTGAAGTGCTCAGTGAGAACTGCGCAAAGCAACAATTATGCTGTCGATCTATGCGATCTTTCCTCTTTGCCAATAAAGAACGCCTGCTTCTTAATAGTCCACCAAGCAACGGCTTCCATTGTGTTCAAATTTGATTTTTGAGCTAAAATTACTGCCGAAATAATCCCTCTTGTTCGACTTGTACGGTGTTCTGACGCGTGGTTTCAATAAGGTTTGGCCTTTCACTGGTTCTCTTTGTCCTTTCATGTTGACTCAGTTCGCGTACCTATCTCATATTGAAATTAAAATTATTGTAGTTGAAATTATTAATGCAATGTGTTTAAAGTTGTTCGTTTAAAAAAGAAAGAGGAGGAGTGGAGAATGAAACATATTCAGAATGCTTAACGTTTTGTTTTCTGCCTTTAATAATTTTCATGGCAGGTTACTAAGCGAAATACAACCACAACGTTGCTGAGATATTTGCAAAACTCTGGACCGCAGGTGTCTATGGTGGGGAACGAACGCGCTATTATCCTTTCCGGGGAGTAACGCGTTCACCACCACACCATGCGGGTCCTTTGTTTCGCACGTCTCTCAGCTATTTCTATCGATCTTTTTGCCACAGCAATCAACATATTCAGACCTGATTTCGGAGCTCATCATAAATATTAACAGTTTCTGTATGAATCAGATGCGCTAATAGGCGGAGTCACATGTACCGAAGACTAAGAGAGTACACGGCTCCTGTATTTATACGTTTTTAACCAGCCCTTCACTGCCTTGCAATCAAGCCTATTTCTTAATTTCTGACGAGTTCTTCACATAAGATCCACTCATGACTGCAACAAAGATGCTGGTCTTCATCTCCCTGGCCACCATACCGATCGCAAGTTGCTCGGTTCGAGGTGAAAGCTGTTATTTTTCCAATTTTCATTTACAAGAGAAGCGAATTGACCAATTGTTGTGACTCCATTCTTTACTGAACGGTCCCATCTACTGTGGCCCTGGTTCAATCCTATCCAGTGACCACCAAACCTTTCGTGTTCCTGGGGTCGGAAAATTAATGCTGCTCGCTTCGATTCTGCCTGGAATTTTTGACATTTGTTTTAAGGCATTCCAACGCCTTCATATAGACAGTTGCAAGGCTTTGTGAACCACACGGAGCTTTCCCCAGAGAGGTGTGGCACTAATCTCCTAACTGCGAAGGGGCACAATTGATCTAGTGCAGGAAAGACCTTGAGAGCTTGCATATGTTATTCACGGGACCTTTAATCACGACACTTCGCGCACCTCTTGAAGTGAAACAAGCCCTATTGAATGATTGCAATGAATTGATCGCATTAAATGATTAATAATGTTAATTGATTGCATTTTATTGATTGCATTGCATTGAATTTGCCGCGAATTGATTGCATGAGCGGTAACAAGGAAGAAACCTACTAAAATAATTTGTATTTAACATGTTAAAGAATCTTTTTCTTTCTATCAGAAAAAGGGTAGATTAGTGGAAGATATGACACTGTTTTATAGTACCACAAGCTCGTGCCCTTATGTTTCAAGCTGTTCCTGGCGGTAATCCAACTAATACAATTGGAGTGATTGACATAACAGAAGTGAATGGAGTGGTAACGGTAAGCTTTCTAATTCATCCAATAGAATTCAATTCATTGAACCAATCATGATTTAAATTTAGATGGTTGGAAGTCTAACTGGACTGCCACCAGGTCCTCACGGTTTCCACGTCCACGAGTATGGCGATTTGGGCAATGGCTGCTTAGCATCGGGAGCGCACTTTAACCCTTACAGATCAGATCATGGTGGCCCAGCAAACCCACCTTCATCAAGACACGTCGGGGATCTTGGAAACATAGTAACACCGGTGAGTTCCTTCCTGATTTCCTCTATTTGGTATCGATAACATTGAACAATGTTTCTAATACGTTCCGCGTGCAGTCACTAACTCTTTTCGAACCAATTTTTAAGGCAAATGGTCCAACCCCGATCAACGTCAGAGATTCCCTGATGAAATTCACTGGGAATCGCGGTATTGTAGGGCGAGCCTTCGTAATCCATGCAAACCCAGATGATCTGGGAACCGCTGGGAATGATGGCAGCCGGACAGTGGGCAATGCTGGTGCACGTCTTGCCTGTGGAATTATTGGTTATATCATGCCTAGAACTGTTTAAATTTATTTCTGTTCTTTCTCGTATGCATTCCAAGGAAAACTATCTTAATTTCTGCATATCTTATTGGATCCTCCCAGAGTTTCACCGATTCGATGAGTACAATTCTCCTTAACGACCTAAAGTTTCGAAATAAAGTTATTTATTTATTCTTTTTTATTTAGTACTACCCGACATCACATATTGTACGGATCTCAACACTTCTCGCATTCGATTCGGTGCCTGACGTTCATGATTAAACGACTACCTTCGGATTTTGCATCTGGCTTAGACTACCGCTTGAAGACTTTTCTTCTTTTCTACAAATCTCCTTCAATGCTGACCTACTAGATTCTCACTGGAATTTTTGGAATCGCCGTACTAGAGGGTTCCTCGATCCCGATCACAAACAGTCGGCAGCTTTTGTCGATTGAAACAACCGAGCTAAGTCCAGACGAGTAGCATGTCCACAGAAGAATGGGACCTTGTGGGTTTTGCACGGTGTCCAAATAATGCCTTGCGTGCATTGAACGGGGTCATTACAAAAGGAGAGAAAGAGGGAAAGAGAAACAGGAACACTACCGCTATAGAAAAGTCCCAGTTGAATAAAGAATTTCCTCTGTAATGGATAAAAAGAAGAGAGTTGACGGTAAACAATTGTAAAATAATATTAACTTCTTATTTACTGCCCTTTACATTTGTTCACAGCAGGGTATTATGTACATCGCCGATTAATCCCGTTGACGGGTAATTGCTGATGGCACTGGTCGATAGATTACTGGCTGAGCAACAGGTGAAACGAAGGATCCGCATGGTGTGGTGGTGAACGTCTTAGTCCCTGCAAAAAGTAATAGCACGTTCATTGCCCACCGCAGACACCTGCGGTCATGAGTTTTGCAAAAATCTCAGTTTCATTGAAACTGTAAAATACATACATACAAGTCAACAAAGAAAGGACTCGAGGTCATCTGGTCAAAACTATTAGTGACCACTATTGAGAGCGCCTTGCGAAAAGTAGGAAGAGAAATAAGATGTAAAAACAGATTGATGAAAGCAAAGTCATGCCCGCTTTGGTGATGAAATTGTTTTCTCAAAGTCAAGTACTAACCACGACAAATGGAAGAGTCATTTATTATCAAATCTGAATAGGGTGAACCCAGATGGAACAGACCAATAGAGCGTGCTCATGGCAACCGGTGCTGAGTATCGGTTAGCGCCTACTTCTAACATCATATTGAGGGTGCAATAAAACAGTCTACGTCATGATGGTCATACATCTTTAGCATCACCCTCTGAGCAAATTACGATGCTCTTTGTTTCCGTCAATCAATCCTTCCTGGGCTACTTTGGCACGCTTCGAAAACTAATGAATCCCTAAGCCACTTCATGACCTTTAAAACGGTCAAACAACGCGCAAATAAAGGCAACATTCATGCTTCCTTCTATTATCAATTCAATACAACCAAACTCATATTAAAAAGTAAAGATAGAGCTCTCAGCGTTGATTACTTTCTCAGGAGTACACAATCTATCGACTACATTCTGAAGATTCTAGACGCGGTTGAATGCGTACTTGGCCTGTAAGATGAGTCGCGGTGGTGCTGTTCTCCAGCACAAATTTGGTACCAATTTGCCGACCTCGAAGTGATGGGAAGCTTAGTGAGTCAGGGGCGCAGGATCGATTTCGTGTGCATTGCAGGACGCCTCTAACCACTGCGCTACACACGCTCTCAACTCATAGTGAGACTATTAATTCTAATAAAAACGATTAAAATCTCAAAAACTTTGCCTACAAAATTAAATCTCTTTTGCTTTAATCCCGATCAAATTCTGATTTTCTGGAGGCCGCGACACATACTTCTTCAAATATTTTGCTTCAAGACTCAGTATCTCTAACATAAAGCGGATGAAGTGATTTGATTTCATCTTACAGAGCATGGCGATCTTTCCCCATCTCTTTTCCGTGTTCGCAGCCGCCGTTCTTGCGTTTGAAATTTCAAAACTTATAAATTTTATTTCCAACTTTATTAAAAGTTAATATAGGGTCACTGCGATAGAGCAAAGATTCTCTTGTGAATCTACGAAGATATGAACACCTGAAATTCCTTACTAGTGACGAAGTTATCGCCAGTTGTCGAAACAAAACTTTCGAAAAAAGAAACCAGCTTCTTAGCGAAAGGGCCATGAATATGGTGCACGACAGACGGCAACTAACAAAAGTACAGATGATGCAGAGATACTATAATTCCATCATTACAAAGCAAATAAAAGTTGTTGAGAGCAACTTACTGTGCTGTTTTTGATACCCCACCTTTCATTTATGTTTCACTTAAAACCACCTTCCAACGAAGATTTGGTGTGATGAGTAGAAATTGTGTAGTGTTTGAAACGTATCGATCGGTAAGACACTTTTCCGTTTTGCTAATGACGAACGCTTATTTCATTGAACAGCTTCCTGAGCCAGAATTCCCACCACGTCCGAATTCGACCTTTGAACTCAAATGCATTCGGATGAGTTCGTTTTATTCAACTCTTTCAGTGCTTTGGCGTATGTTTTCGATGAACTTTGGCCTTGTGTTGATGCGCTTTGTTGATCCGTGTTGGTTCAGTCGGCAGTGATATCATGTCAAGTTTGAAGTCATAACGTTTTACTGGTTAATGCACTCTAAGTAAATCGTTTAAGCGAGGGAAAGATAAAAAGAGATAGCGCACAATATTCATGTCAATTCTCGAATATATCACTAATGTTAACTACCTTCTAAACAAATGGAATGCCCAAATAGCAGGAGGCACAAGTGCCAAAGACTACGAGAGAACGTGACTTTTGTATTTATGCGCTTCCAACCAGTCCGTCAAATCATCAAGCCTATTGCTTCATTTCCGACAAGTCCTTCGCTTGGGATCCGCTCATGACTGCGACAAAGATGCTGCTATTCGCCTTTATGACGTTCATACCGATAGCAAGTGGGGCTTTACCAGGTGAAAATAAGTTGTCTATGCAGTGACAAAGTGTTATATTAGAAATACTTACACCTAATTTCTTGATATCAATATTACGAGAGCAATGCCATTTATGACGCCGACAAAGGCGTCGAACTCTTAGCAATGAATATTCATGTAATAACAAAAGAAGACTCTGTCAAGTAGTTTACCGCTTAATGAAAGATATAGGCATTTTTATTTACTCTCAAAGAAGCGGGCAATTATTTAACAAGCTGTTGCTGGCGTTAACCTAAGTACCGCAATCGGTGTTCTTGACGTGATACAACGCCGTGGAGTGATGACGATTAGCTCGTTCATCATTCAGAATGTGCAGTGATCGGCCAATGATGGGAATTCAACGTATCATTTAGATCAATGGTACTGTGAGCGGTCTGCCTCCAGCTCCTCACGGTTTTCATGTCCACTAGGATGGCGATTTGGAGAATGGTTGCCTAGTAGCAGGCGACCACTACAATCCTTTCAAACGAAACATGGTGGACCAAAAAGCCGAAGTTCAAGACGACATGTCGTGGATCTTGGAAGCATAATGACACCCGTGAGTTCGTAACTTCTGTCCATTAATAACTTCGTTTGTTAACAACTCCTTTGGAAATTTCGTGCCAATGAATCTATTAATAGCAAGAACTTTATTAACACAATAACACATTGTTAACATTTTAACAATAATAACATTATCCCTTGTAAATATATTACAACATCATTATTGCATGTACAAGAAGTAATGCTATTCGGAAACATACAACGCAAGATCTTATTAACTTTGGCTTTCTTGAGCTGTTCGAAAATTAGCCCACGATTCTAATTTGTATCGTTAGAATGGCATATTTCAGCTCAAAAAGAACTTAGCGATGCTAATAAAAACCCTTCGAATCAGCGTATTTCTATGGTGCCAACATGAAACAAATTTATTGTTTTTGGCTGCTTAAAACACCGAATTTCTTCGGCTGACGAGGTCGTTGGAGGGAATTTCGGTCTCGGCTCAATTTCTGGAGCATTTCTCCTACAGGAGCTCTTTGAGGTGGCNGCTGACGAGGTCGTTGGAGGGAATTTCGGTCTCGGCTCAATTTCTGGAGCATTTCTCCTACAGGAGCTCTTTGAGGTGGCCGAAGAAGTGGTAGCTGGTAAGGGGTCGGCACCAAGGTGCCCAACTCATCATAAGACGCATGATGTTGTTGTGAAGCTCATGAAAGAGACTCTCATGACACTTATATTCGGTGTTCTGTGACATAATCCGTTTGCTGTACCTCTCTCTATGCTCTATTGGGTGAAAAAATTTCCCGAAATGCCGAATCGACATATCCATTTATTCTGATTAAGTTCGGATACCATCAGGATCGAATAAAGAAACCATCCAGTGCACACCGCAGAGTACCTCTATCCCCTGCGCTATACGCGCTTTATTCATTTAAACAGGGAACAGCATTTGAATCTCTAATGTTCTAGTGTCGAAATTAGTATTAAAATGCCGCTAAACTATCATAGTAATATAGTGACTGGTCTTTTTGGTCTTTGGCTTGATGTATCGCGCTCCCACTTTTGTCGTCGCCCAGTTCTGTCGTTTCCCTGTTTGATCATCTGCCTTTTCGAACGGTGATTGTCGGGTCTGTTCATAATTTATAGTGGAAATCAGAGCTCACTGATATGCACCGACTAAGAGCACGATTTGCAATTGGTCGCTTTTTTAAATGGGTACGACGACCGACGGTCAAATCTAGCATCAAATTTTGAACTGGCAGGCGTCTAACTAAACAAAAATCACCACATCGTGCCATAGAGGTTGTCCTATTCTACGAAGATGCGACACTATTCCATGTTCTTATAAACGAATTTGTGTACCTTTCTCCAAGGTCTGGACCAGAGCACACTACTTATAATCGGTTCGCAGACCACCAAGAGCACAAAGATCGGCAAACGACATCTTAATGAAGGGCCTTTATTATTCACAATGGGGCCATCTCGCCAACAAATCTCAATGATGTAGGGTTTGTCTTACGTTCATTTGCTGCCAGTTAGCAACATGAAGCTCTGCTTCATCACCTGGTCATCTTTTTTATTTATCAGATAAGGTCAATGCTAATAAGAACTGCTCAAAATTATCTGCTGGCAATCTCGAACTTTTCGTTGTTGCAGACTTTCCCTGCTGTGTTGGGCACATTTGGCGCGAAAGACTGAGACCATAAACGTCCGATTCGCGTCATTATTTGCATTAGAAATCAATGTTCCTATGCATTCTCGTAGTAACGGCCACACCTTCGCCTTCAGGAAAGACCACCAGGAAGAATACTGAACTAAACTACCCCATTTATGATACTCTTTGGGGAAAGTATTAATGTGGTAGAAAACAAAAAGTCACAAAACTAAAGCTACTATTTAAAAACCGTTGCTCCCTGAAGTGTCGTGCAAAAAATTATTGATTCCACAAGCGAGGCGAGCGCCAGCATTGCTCGTTGTGCCACTTCCTTCGTTACCATCTTTTCCCAGATTGTCATCATTGGCATGGATCACAATAGCTCACCCAACAATGCCGCGGATTCCAGTGAAGGTCATGAGAGTGTCTCTGATGTTGATCGGTGTAGAACTAGTTGCCTTAACTGCCACGACCGACTTTCTATTAACCTCGGCATTGATCAAGTGATTTTCTTCGAATTTTTGTTGAGCAAACGCGAGGTGTTACTATTCTTCGTTCACGATTAAGCTGACGTTTCGGCGAATTTCGCCTTCTTCAGAGCCGCTTTCTATGAGGTTTCCACTAAGTATGTCACGTAGAGACCAACCGCACAGAAATCACGTGGAAGTATA